TTTTTCTCATAATCTAAACATAAAACATCGCCATCATCATCATCATCGATTGCGAAAACGAGAGTTTTTTCGTTATGAGGAAAAATCATCGCGTGGAAAACAACAACAACAGCTGATAACCCCTAGAAAACCTTTCCTAGAGTTATTTTTCATGCACAAACAGGCGCGGCGGTCACTCATATATATACAGTCAATGAGGCCACCGCGAATAATAATAATAATAATAATTATCACTTATTATTTTTGTTTGTTTGTTTGTTTGTTTGTTTTCATAGCCTGATCCATCCTGATCGTCTTTCGTCGTCATGTAACGATTGAAAGAATGAATTTGATCGATACGACCTGATAAACATGGCGTGGCATGGCAAAAAAAAACACCTTACGCGAAAACGGTTATGAAGAGAGGTTCGTGAACCGTGATGATAAACGCGAATCGACCTCCGCGATATAAACGGATTTGAATCCGGTTTTCGAGGGCAAAATAATAGAAATGTGGCGGCGGTGGTGGTGGGGTGCGGGTGCGCGATTCTATAAATACGTAGTGAAAATCATGTTTGATGATTAAAAAAAAAAAAGAAAAAAGCGTAGAAAATGCCGCAAAATGTTTTTTAAAAAAAAAAAACAAGTTTAAGTTACGGATTTGCTTGACCAGCGCAACATAAAACCAACAACCAACCACACGTTGAGGTTGTTTGTTGTTTGTTGTTGTTGTTGTTTTTCGTACGGTACCTACTATTCTAGTTTTTTTTTAAAAAATCCTGAGAGACTAGTTGTTAAAAATAAATTATTAATAATAACGTTGACGTTGATAAGGAGATAAGAAATTCGAAAGGGGAAAATTCAAACGAGCGCGCGCTCTTTTCTTTCCCCTCCCCCCAACCCCTCGCCATCTCGAACGTATACACCCACATTCCGGGTAGGAAATTCGACTATTATTGAGACTTTTTTTCCACTTTCTGCCTTATCCCAAAAAAAAAAAAAAGTGAAGCTACACGACCTCGTGTGTGTGTGTGTGTGAGAGAGAGAGAGAGAAAGGAATTAATATTTAATCATCATCATCATCTTCTTGATATTTAAATCTCTAATAACGAAATTGATAACATTTGTCGCGATGTACGGCGGTCAACGTGGGAAACGACAGATAAAAACAAACAATATTTTATCATTATTATTAATTTTACCCACGAGAGACACTCGTTAAAAAAAAGGGAAAATTTTTCGCGAAAAAAGGCGTACCTACAACACCCTTACTCGCGCACATTCACGCACCCACTCACTCACTCGCCCGCCCGCCCTCCCGCCCCCTGGCAAATTATTATCACGATTCGTTTTATCTCGTTGTAAATACGAATCCACCGCCTTCTTAGAAAGAGGTAACCAGGTAATTTATTTATATAAAGCTCCCAGAGAGAGAGAGAGAGAGAGAGAGAGAGAGAGAAAATTATTCGCGTGCACGTACTTATCGCATTTACTCTTTAATTATTGAACGTATATGAAAAAAAAAGAAGTAACGATTCGCGCCGCGACTGTTAACAAAAAAACCGTTTTTTTTTTTTTTTTATCTTAATCGTATTTTAAATTTTAATTTTTGACTCTGTCGACAGATAAAAATTTAAAAATTACGAAAAACGCATTAATAACATACATAAACGACAGCAAAAAAAGAAAAATGAATCGTTTTAATCGTTTGCTGTTGAAAATCAAAATCCTTTCATTTGTAATTACATACGATTAAATTAAAAATAACAAAATCAATTAAAAAGGGAGGGGGGGGCAACAGCATGAGCGGCAGCGACGACGACAACAACAAAAGAAAAACAAAAAGAAAAAACATTTGTCCCTTACTATTGTTAAAACTTATGCATGCCAAATAATAATAATAATAATATTAATAACAAAAGCAAGTCATTATTAGAATGATTTGCCCTTTTTTCTTTTCCTGTTAAAATTTTTTTTGTAAAGGAAGACATTTTATAAACGGCAATGCGGAACATTTTCTTTTTTTTAAAATTCGACGTAGTAATAATTTACGCGATTGCGTATACGCAGGATTTGTACTAGATTTCCTCAAAAAAAAATCACTCAAAGAAATTATTATCATTATCATTTGTGACACTAAAAGGCATTACACACAACTAGGACGGGGGGGGGGGAGGACGGGGTTGTGTTAGGCAATTCGCCAATTGGCCAAAAATATTTTTAAAAAAATCAAATTGACAAAAACTTCCTACATATGACTTCCTCAAGGTAAGACAACAACAACAACAACAACAACCGAACGGTCATCACCACAACAAACAAAACTCTCGCGTTATCGGTTCAACGTTCTAAACAAAAAAAAAAAAAAAAAAAAAAAACGTCACACTCCCAACACACTCCGTCATCAAAATAATAAAATCAAAAACCCGAAAATGTTTATTTTTAATTAATATAATAATAATAATAATAATAATAATAATAATAATAATAATAATAAAAAGTAATAATGATAATAGCAACAACAACAACAACAATAAAAGCCAAAAGAAAAAAAAAACTTGGCTCATTTTCTGGCAAGAAAAAAAAAAAAAAAATTCAAACACGAGTAAATAATAATAATAATAATAATAAATTAAGAACAATTAGTTGTTGTTGTTGTTGTTGTTGTTGTCGTCGAGCTTTGTCCTCCATTCAAGAATTTAATAGAGTGGTTTAGCAGACAGCTCGGAAGCTCGCCTTGTAAAAATTAAATCCCTACGGTTAAGTATATATATAAAAAAAAAAAAGATTTTTCTAGAATAATTACGTAGACGAATTACGTTTGACGTAAATCGTGGATCATTAGTATATTATCTGTATACAAAAAAAAAAAAAAAAATTAATTTTTTTTCCCAAATTACTATATAACGAAACAAACACAAAGCGCGCGAGATGGCATTTATTCGTTTGTTTTTGTTTGTTTAACTTTCGACAAAGCACAAATCACATCTTCTTCTTCTTGACCTGTCATAACCTAAATGGTGTTCGGACAATGTTTAAATGTTTAAAAAAACAAAATGTGAAAACAACAACAACAATCAGTGATGTGGTAAGAACAAAAACTGTGTGTTCGATAGTCGAGATTGATTTAAATGTTCCAGCCCATTCCAGTTCCGGTTCTTTGTGTAAAAGACGTGTAGTCTTGAAACCTTGAGCACCTGCTCGTCGAGGGTCAAAACATTAATTTTGTATGTGATTTTAAAAATTTAAAACCTATCCTCGACGTCCTTGCCATTTTTTTTTTTTAAAATGACGACGATTATTATTATTATTATTTTAAATAAAACAACAACGACAACAACATTAACAACAGGATCGACGGAAAAACAAATAAAAAATTTAAACGTTTACTTTTAATCAAAATTGACTTTGATCTAACGATGCAGGACGATGAGATTCGTCATTTTCTTACAATTTTTAAAAAGTCGAACCTAATGGAAACCTTAGAAAATCCTTTTGAATCAAATACGAAAACAAAGCGAAACATTCAAATTAAATTCCGAGGCACAACACACATTGAGAGGGGCGTTAACTTTAATCCCAGAAAAGGAAATAATAATAAAAAAAAATTTACACAAACAAACAATCAGTCATTTGAATTTTTACGAAACGAATAATAATAATAATAATAAATAAAATAATTAAATAAAATAATAATTAAAAATCCCTAATGAGATTTTTTTAAATTTTGAAAATGAAAAACCTACGCACACACTTGCACACATTTTTAAACACAAAGTTTTGCGGTCGTTTTTACAGTCCCCCAATAAAAAAAAAAAAAAAAAAAAAAAAAAAAAGTTTGATTTTAATTTTTTTTAAAGTCTCCCCCTCTCCCACTCCCCCCCCGTCGCCCTTTCTCCCCGTAATACCTTGAACAATAATAATTGGTCACTGACCGTGGTCGAGGTTTCAGGTTTATTTAGCTTGAACTATAATGCCTTGATTGAGTAGTCTGGAAAGCTTTTTTTTTTTTTTTTTTTTTTTTTGTTCTTGTTAAATTCCCTATCTCGACTCTGTATATACGCATATACAGGCACGCACGCACACGCACACGCACGCATACATAAAAAAAATTTTTTTTATATATATTTGGCAATTTGTCTGATCCTTTGTTGATATTATTATAAACTGGCCTTGTAAAGCCATTTCTTGGTTGAGTAAATTTTAAAATTCTTTTTTTTTCCTCATCATATGTTAAATAAATAATTTAATTTAATTTAATAAATAAATAAATTTAAATAAAGTTCTTTTTTGTTTCAAATTCATAAACTTGTTTGACACAAAAAGATCTGTTGAACTTTTTTATTTCAGCAAATCGAATCAAAAGTAATGAATTATTCATTTAATACAAATAATAATGGCACAAATAAATTTAGAACAGTTGTATGTGTGTGTGTGTGTGTGCAAAGAAAGTGTAAATAATAAATAATAATAATAAGTAATGGCCATACAAAACTTAATAAATTATAAACAAATGCGAATGAAACCACCACCACCACCACCCAAAAAGGTTTATTCGAATATATATACAAGGTACTTTTTTTTTTTGCAAACAACAAACACTACTGTCAGAACTGTGTACAAACACACACACACACACACACACACACCCTTTAAAATAAAAAAAATTTCTCTAAACTTTTTTAATGAGGATACCACTTATCGAGGAAACTTGTCCACTGATAGATTAATAATGTAAATGTTTTTTTTTTTTTTTTTTTATAAAACCAGTTAATAGAATATGTTTATCCTAATTATTATAGTTAAAAGTATTAAAACAAACAATCAAAGGTGAGGTTATCATGTCATGTGCTTCATTTTAATATTTAAAAAAAAAAAAAAAAAAAATTTTTTTTAATGTCAGTAAACAGGATACGAGAAAGTTAAATGGATGGATAGATGGTGGTGGAAGAGTAATGCAAGATACTTTCATACATTTGTGACAATCATTAAGGTTGAGTGGTAAACCTGTCCATGAAAATTTATACATACACTACTTTTCGGCAAAGCACATTGTGTTTGTCTCTGAACCTTTTCAAACCTTTCAAAAGGTAAAATTTGTAAAATATAAATAAATAAAAATATAAATAAACTTACCGGTATGAGTTCTAAGATGAGCTTTTAAATGAGAACTTTTCCCATAAATCTTGTTACAACCTGTATACATGCACCTATGTGTTTTCTTAGCAAATCCAGAAGTTGAAGTTTCCCCCAAAATGTTATTATTATTATTATTATTAATATTATTATTCCTAATTTTTGAATTTAAAATTGATTTCCTATAAAATTTCTGATTGTAACCTTTCAGGTAAACACAATTAATTTCTTTTTTAGTATTATTATTATTATTATTATTATTATTAGTTTTATTTAATTCGTCTAATTCGTAAATAACGTTCGGCACTGGATCCTGTTTAATCGATGTCAAATCTGTCAAAATTCTGGCAACCATAAATGAATTCGAATGCAATGGCTCGACATTTTCTCCCCTTTCCATTGTTTTCTTTTTCATAAACATCATTTCTTCTAGAAATTGTATATTTTTGTCGAGAGACATGTTAGACGATTCGTGAATTAATGAATCCTTTGTTTTGTTTTTTTTATCTGATAAATCCAATGGAAGTGCCATTGAAAAATTGACGGGATCTTTACCGCGAGACATAGAGAGAAGACACTGAGCAGCAAAGTTAATATCCATGTCTGATAAAACTTTCGTTTTAACTTCTTCATCCATAATTAATAATAATAATAATAATAAATTTTTATTTTTTTAATTTTTTTTTTTTTTCAAATAAAAGTATTTATATATATATTTATTTTTTAAACTGGGCGTGGTTTTTTTTTCCGAAACCGTTTAAAAAAGTTTTTTTTATTTTTATTTATTTTTATTCACTATATATTTTTATTTATTTATATATTTAAATAAAATAATAACTACGCACTTTCACTTGTATTTTTTAAACAAATAATTATCAAGTAAATATTTTTTAACATAATCAATAATAATAATTTTAACCAACATATTATTTTAATATTATTATAAAATTTAATAATAACCGATAATAATAATAAAATGCAGCAAAATAAAATAATGAAGAGAGAGAAAAAAAAAAAAAACAAAAAAAAACAAAACAAAGTTTTCTTTGTTTAAATACGGTAAAAATTTTGCAATGGACTGCGAAGAACAAAACCGACCACAACGTTCCTCTCCGCTTAACTGAATGATCCCGATTGGTCTTCGTTTATTCGATTGAACATGTGCTTGTGTTTGTTAAACACCTAGCGGTCAATTTATTAACTAAAATATTTTAATGGCTTCTATAATACTTTCTTCCATCCTTTCCATTCCTTTCCATTCCTTTCCTTTCCTTTTTTTTTTTTTTTTTGAATCTTAAAAGGTTAAAATTTAAAAACGTGAAATTAAATTAAATTGAATAAATAATTTTTTTTTTTTTTTTTAAAGATTAGTTTCCAAGTCATTTATAGTATATAAGTTTTTTGTTCGCTTTAAAAAATTTATATAATTCTTTACGTTATAATTTCCTATACAGGAAAAAAAAAAAATTTAATTTATATTTAACCGCTTCTGTAATTTTCTTTTTTTCCAACGTAAATTCATTTCATCGTTATTTACGATTTAATATTTTTCTTTCATTATTATTATTAATATTAATATTAAATATAATTATATTATAAATAAAATTGTAATTTTCCGTTATGGTAAAAAGTTGTTTAAATTGTTTTTTTTTTTTTCACTTTACACTAAACCGTACGTTTAAAAACGAGTAAAATTTATTAAAACATAAAAACATTTAACAAATCACTGCTATTTTTACTTGAAAAAACTAATTTAAACTGAAAAAAAAATTTAAATCACACCGTTTTAAAATTACGTTAACGACCGACCGCCATTAAATGGTGCGAAACTAAAAAGTTTAGCCAACTTAAAATCCGTCGCGGCTATGATTTATTACGTCATAGAGTAACGATAATTCCACGTCTGACCATAGAGTACCAACATAATTTCCCTCGTTGTTTACATTTTTATATAATATAATAAACAAAAATATTTTAAACGTTTTAAAATTTATTTATTTATTTATTTATTATTATTATTATTCGCTCACAAAATTTATTACTTATTATTATTATTACTTGTAAATTAATTTATTAATGTTTTTTTTTACAAATTAAAAATATTTATAATAAAACAATTAAAATAATTATATAAATAATTTCCAACACATTTTTCATTTTAAAGACAAATATTATTTTATTATTATTATTATTATTATTTATTTATTTATTTATTTATTTTTATTAACATTATAACATTTAAAGAATTTATTTCTTATTTTTTTACATAATAAATTATTATTAAAAATTTTATTTATCTTTTACAAATAAAACAACTAAATTTTTTTTAAAAGTTTGAAAGCTAATTATTATTATTATTATTATTATTATTATTATTATTAATAAATGTATTGTCAGTGCAATGATAATTATAATAAAAAATAATGAATTTAATCAAATAATAATAATAAAAATATTTAAATAATTATTAATTAATTAATGGGAATATATATAAAAGGCTGATTGATTTTATTAATAAGAAACAAAATAATTAATAAATTATCAATAAATAAATAAATCAATCAATCAATCGATACATAAGATATTTTATAATTTTAATATTAAAACTCTTCTTCCAACATGAAAAAAAAAAAAAAACAATAATAATAATAGTTATTTATATATATAATTTTTTTTATTTATTTTAATTAATAAAGCTTTAATAAACTTTTTTATGTATTTATTTATTTATTTAGGACAGCTCGAGTAAAATTCTTTCCAACACGGGTAATTAATAAAATTTAAACTTTTTTATTACCCGTAATTAAATAATAATTCGTTTTTCTTTCTCTTTTAATACAAAAAATAAAATAAAAATTGAAATCAATCAATTCAATAATCAATTCAAATCAATATACAAGAGAGAATATAATAAATAATAATTAAATGGATAAATTTACACAAAAAAAAAATTAACA